GCAGGCTTAGAGATCTCAACCCCGGGTCCCGCACACCTGGGTTCCTCTGCCAGTTCCTTTATGCGTGAGGCTCATCCAAGTGTGTGGAGAGTGATCTCAGCATGACTTTGAATGGTGGACGGTTCCACAATGAAATAGACCACATCATATTCAATCGGTGGTTTTGCCTAACCGATGTTGCTGTTGTCCCAAAATTCCAAATGGGATCGGACCACCACATCCTCCGTGCAAAATTCTACCTCACAGAACGGGGAGAAAAGAATGCAAAGTTTAAGAAGAGAACTCCCAGAACGATCACCAACTGGGAGCTTTTTGGCTCTGTTGCTGCAACATAGGAAGATGCCATCATTGACAACATTGATGAGGAATATAATTGAATAATTCAACACCTCCATGATTGTGCAAGGAATGCTGAGAGAGATAACCACAAAAAAATGCCTTTCTTCGAACACTCTTGAACTTATTCACTAACGTGACTCGGCACATGCCTTAGGCAACTGCAAGCGAACATCCGAGCTGGCAAAACAGTGCAGAGAAGCGATCAAGGATGACCTCAAAGACAGGAGAGCAGCAGTGCTGGTAGATGCGGCAGAAGCTGGGAAAAGCATTCGTAATGCCCGCCTGTCCTTCACCAACTACAAGACCAAGGTGACTGCCCTCCGACATCCTGATGGATCTATCACATCTTCCAGAAGGGTAATGGAGAAGATTATTCATGACTTCTACTCAGATCTCTTTAATAGCCACGTCCACTTGCCCACATACCAAATTCCACAGGATGGATATGTTGTTCCCAATGTTCTCCCTTCCGAAATCCAACACGCCATCTCGTCGGTAAAGAAACAAAGAGCACCTGGCCCAGACAAGGTCAGACCTGAACACCTGAAGAACTTACCGTCAGTACTCATCAATACACTGGCTCAGCTCTTCACACACTACCTGTCTGAATGCAAGGTTCCATCCTAATGGAAAACCAGCAAGACTGTACTAATATACAAGAAGGGAGACATCCACGACATTGGAAACTATCGCCCAATCTGCCTGTTGTCTGTTATCTACAAACTGTTCACTCGAGTCATCCTGAATAGGATTGGCAGAACACTAGATGAAGGACAAACATGCGAACAAGCCGGGTTCCACAAAGGATTCAGCACCATCGACCATATCCACATGATAACCAAGCTCATTGAGTTTTCTCAGGAGTTCAAGATGCCGTTCTGTTTAAGGTTCATTGATTTAAAGAAGGCCTTTGATTCTGTTGAGACGGAAGCGGTCATGGAAGCCCTAGCCAATCAGGGCATACAAACTCAATACATCAGGATCCTCCGTGAGCTCTATTATGGATTCACTACCAGGATCTCACCATTCTACAAAGAAGTAATCATCCATGTCAAGAGAGGGGTTCGGCAGGGTGATACCATTTCACCAAAACTCTTCAGTGCCGCCCTCGAGAACATCATGCGACGACTGGAATGGGAAGGAATGGGAGTGAAGATAGACAGTCGGCAACTACACCATCTCCGTTTTGCTGATGACATCGTTCTAATAACACCAAACATCAGCCAAGCGGCACAAATGCCAACCAATTTCGACCGTGAGTGTGGAAAGGTCGGATTACAACTGAATCTCACAAAAACAATGTTCATGAGAAACAGTCTTGTTCCTGATGTTCCATTCACTCTCAACGGAACCACCATCTCCAAATGCAACAAATATACACTTAGGTCGAGAAATCAACATGATGAATGACCTGGCACCTGAGTTACGCAGGAGGAAGAGAGCGTCTTGGAATGCCTTCAAGAGCGTTGAAGAAATAACTAAGAGGACAAAAGAACCTCCAGCTCTGAGCACATCTCTTCAATTCCACTGTTCTTCCTGCATTAACATATGCCTCAGAGACCTGGGCCCTACAAACACAAGATGAGAACATTATTCGGGTCTCTCAAAGAGGAATCGAAAGAGCTATGCTTGGAGTATCACGCTTCACTCAAATGAGAGAATTCGGAGTTCCGATCTCCGTCAATGCTCAAGAATCAGGAACGCTGTCTCATTTGCCAAGCATCGAAAATCAGATGGGCTGGACACGTAATGAGGTTTAAAGACGACTGCTCGACTAGAGCCATTACTGACTGGATTCCACGGGACGCCCACCTACAAGATGGTCAGACTTCTTCGTCAAGACCCTGAATGATTGGTTTGAGGCTCTGCATGTTCCTAGAACGAGCAGATGCCATTGGGATACGCTAGCATGCAACAGGGATGAATGGAGACATTACTGGCACCCACTTGAGTAAATCGATGAGTAACGGGGTATCAAGTGATCAAGTGAAATCTGGAGGTATTTCTGCCAAAACCTGCTGGGTTCCGAGATTTGTTTCCGAGTCTCTGGGATCATGCCATTTAGCAGCTTGATCAGGAGCCAGAGAGGCCGTTTGTGGGCGGCGACTCGGGGTCTTATTGGGACGGGGAGGAAAAGGCCGGCTCCACCCCCATCCCATGAGGCCCTGCATGTCTTGTCACTGCGGGCCCAAATCTGACTGTCCAATGGCCTTTGGCAGATGGCAGCCACCAAGCCGCCACGGGGGAGCAGGTGGAGAGACAGCACCCTTTCCCCACTGGGGTGGCCCGGTGGCAGTAACCTACTGCAGGGTCCAGAAGCATTTCTGCCAAAAGCCACTGGATTTCAAGATTTGTTTCTGAGTCTCTGGGATCATGGCCATTAAGCAGCTCGATCAGGAGCCAGAGAGGCCATTCGTGGGTGGTAACTCGAGGTCTCATTGGGATGGGGAGGTGAGGGCCGTCTCCACTCCCATCCCATGAGGCCCCATGTGTCTCATCACTGCGGGCCCAAACCTGACTGTTCAATGGCCTCTGGAGGATGGCGGCCACCGGGCCGTCAGGGGGGAATAGGCCAAGGCACGAAATCTATTCCCACCTGGAGTGGCCCGGCGCTGGTAACCTATTACAGGAACCGGACGCATTTCTGCCAAAAGCCATTGGGTTTTGAGATTTGTTTGAGTCTCTGGGATCATGGCCGTTAAGCAGTTCGATCAGGAACCAGAGAGGCCATGCTTCCAAATATATAGCTGAGCCAGAGGTGGTTTGTGGGTGTGTCTCCCACATAACTATCTTTTGGCTGTTTACTTTCTTGGTAAACTTTACCCCAAGTTTTTGGGGTCTGGCCAAAGGCACAGCAGCAATTTTGGGGTATCTGGAAGTCTGAAGGCTCCATCAGGCTGCTGATGCACTTGCCTCACAGGTACAGATTGACCTGCTGGCGGCACCATACCTCCATGTTTTCTTTTCTTTTTTTTTTTAAGGAAAAAAAAAAAAACAGCATACCAAAGGTGAGGAGTTGCTGGGCTATCCAGGGAAGTATTTAGGGGCTATTCCTGGCTCATTGCTCAGGGGTTGATCCAGATGATGCTGGGGATAGGAACCAGAGAGTGCTGAGATTGAAGCTGGCCCTCATATAGAATCGTAGCAGCCTGTTCAGCTAACTCTCTGGTCTTAAGATTGCATTTTGGAAAGTGCTTCACCAGTGGTAAAGCAGGTGGATTAGTGTGGGCCACACTGTCGAAGCCCAATTAAGATGTGACAGCAGGGCTGGAGGTAGTATAGTAGATAAGTCATTTACCTTACATGTGGCCAACCTGGATTCAATCCTGCACCCTATTTCCCCTGAGTCCTGCCAGAGGTGATCCCAGAGCACAGAGCCAAGAGTAAGCCATGTGCACTGCCAGTTGTACCCTCCCACTACCCCCTAAAAATGTTCCAGCAATAGTCTGTGTGAGAGAGAAAAGATGAAGATCTAACTTTTTTTTTCTTTTTTTGCTTTTTGGGTCACACCCAGCAATGCACAGGGTTTACTTCTGGCTCATGAACACAGGAATTACTCCCAGCAGTGCTCAGAGGACCACATGGGAATCGAACCTGGGTCGGCCACGTGCAAGGCAAATGCCCTACTCACTGTGCTATTGCTCCAGCCCCTGAAGACCTAACCTTAGAGAGTGGAACATATGTGAGAACTGAGCATAGGAAGCAGACGCATTTGGGAGTGGAAAGCCTGGGTGACTTAAGAGACGCTGATGAAGGGGATGGGCATAGGGAGAGAGAAATGGATGGGTCCAGTGTTACTACTAGAGTTCAGACTGGATGATTGTGATGACTGTGGGGCCGTCCTCACTACTACCAGAGAAAATAGGTATTATTCAGCATAGCATAAGCACTACCATTTTTAAGTAGCAATCATTCTTCATCCAAAGCTTGCTTAGTAGAAAATTTGTACAGCCATGACCATGGTCTTGAGGCATATCTCAGGATTACAGAGTTAGCTAGAAATCCTGATGCACAGTAGGATGTGGAAACCTGCCATCTGCCAGTCCTCGAAAGGACATGAGACATGAAGCCCACTGCACGCAGTATGCTCACTTATTTTATGTTGGCTTTGGGCCACACCTGGTGGTGCTTAGGAGTAACTCTTGGTAGTGCCAGGGAACCACATGTAGTGCTGAGGATTAAAGCTGGATGGCTACTTACAAGTTCAGCACCATCCCTGTACTATTCTCTATACCCACAATTCACCCATTTAAAGAATAAAATTAAATGGATCTTAGTATATTAAAAGTTGTCCAATCAATTAATTTTAGACATTTAATCACCACCACCACCACCACAAAGAAACCCTGTATCCTTTCTTAGTTGCTCTCATTTCCCTTAAATCCTTAAAATTAAAAACAAAAAAAAGGTTGGGTCAAGGAAGCTGGACAGTATAGTGAGAAGTGTGCTTGTCTTGCATGCAGCTAACCTGGGTTTGACCCTTGGCATCACATATGATTCCCTGACATTTCATCCCCTAGGTGATCCCTGGGCACAGAGCCAGGAATAAGCCCTGAGCACTGCTGGGTGTGCCCCCGTCGTCTGCCAACAAGTATATATGAATGTAGACAATTGAGAACTTATAATTTTCAAATATTTAAAAATAAAAAATACGACACCAGTTAGAATTAAAAAGTTTATTACAAAGAAACATCCCATAAATTTCTTTTCACCAACATAATAATGACAGTTTAGCCATTGCAATAGGAAACTTTAAAAATCACTATGAAAAACAGTATGATTCAAGTTACAACTTGTGTTTTTGTGCCCTAAAGAGATCTGGATTACACAGGAATGATGATTACACCGAACTGGACAGTCTGCCTGAGCTAAACCTTTTATCTCTCTGAACAGGAGGAAAAGATACAAATCACAGTGACTATACAAATTCTCCAGATGCCAACACCGGTTTGGGGGATTAGAGAAGCTCTTTAATTTGATTTTCCACTCCCAGATAACTAAGTCTGAATTGCTCAGTAACTGTGATTAAAGGTGCTAATTCCATCTGCTTCCACTTCCTTTGAGAACCAAGTCCTTAAAGAAGCGAAGGAGCCGTCCCTTTAGGGGACAAGAGCTTTCTTAACAGACTCTGGAACACGACTGGCATAGTAGTCAAAATTCCTCAGGGAGGCCAGGACGCCCGCAGAATTCATGTGCTTCACTTCCTTGTTATACTGCAGGGCATTGCCATGGATGTCTGTTAACTTGCCTAAAGGATAAACACCAGCATTAGTGGGAGACTGTATTGTTAGGGTCTAGTTACTCTTTTGTTTTTGGGTCACACCTGACAGTGCTCAGAACTCACTCCTGCCTCTGCACTCAGGAATTACTCCTGGTGGTACATATGGGATGCTGGGATCAAACCCGGGTCAGCTGGGTGGGAGGTAAATCCCCTACCAGCTGTAAGGCAGATATGTGTGTAAGGCCCTTCTAATTATTTCTAAATTTTTTTTTTCCCTATGTCCCTGGTTCAATTCCTCCGCCCCTCTCGGAGAGCCTGGCAAGCTACCGAGAGTATCTCACCCGCACTGCAAAGCCTGGCAAGCTCCCCATGATGTATTTGATATGCCAAAACACAGTAACAACAAGTCTTACAATGGAGACATTACTGGGCCTGCTCGAGCAAATCGATAAACAACAGGAGGACAGTGCCACCAATATTCCATTAATTCTGGTTAAAATAAGACAGAAATGTGTGTAAGGCCCTGTTTCATTTAGGGGTGGGGAGCTTGGAGCCATATCCGGTGCTCAGGGCTTACTCCTGTCTCTGTATTCAGGGATCACTACTGGAAGGGCTTGGGATACCATGTGTGGTGCTCAGAATTAAACTGGGGATGTTCCAGAGCAAAGCAAGTGTCTTTATCCCTGTATTATCTCTCTAGTCCCAGGGTTTGATCCCTGGCACTGAAAAAGAAAAAAGAAAGAAAATGAGGGGCTGGAGTGATAGCAGAGCGGGAAGGGCGTTTGCCTTTCATGCAGCTGACCCGGGTTTGATTCCCAACATCCCATATGGTCCCCTGAGCACCACCAGGAGAAATTCCTGAGTGCAGAGCCAGGAACAACACCTGTACATCGCTAGGTGTGACCAAAAAAGGGGAGGAAAAAAAAGAAAGGAAATGAGTGATCATAAGGAGAGTAAGTCTTAATTCACCAGAAATATAAAACTATTAATATAATTCTGACGAATTGACAGATAAGAAAATTCCCTGAAAAGAAAGAGACTTACCTCCCACGGCATGTAGGATAACTTCAGGGGCACAAGTATCCCACTTCTTACAGCCGGGACTTGCAAATACATAAGCAGATGCTTTGCCTTCTATCAGTTGAATAATCTGTAAAGTTCAAGGTAAACAGACTGAGAACCAATACGATAAAGTACCTGCTTCTATCAAGACTATTTCAAGAATCCCTCTTGTCAGATGCAAGCTAGGGTATAATCTTTACTTAGTAACCAGGCAGGCAAATGATCAGGTAAGTATGCAGACACACATGGAATACACATGTAGTCATATGAAGGGGGAGAAGTGAATCCGCTATAAGGGGGAATTCAGAACAGTCTGTAAACTGCAAGATTGATAAAATAGTTTTCTTTTATATGTATTTTTCTTTCTAACCATAAAATCAGTATTTACTGAAGATGATTTAAAGTTTTGGGCAGGGGTGAAAGTACAGGGGTTAAGGCACTTTGCCATAAACAAGACTGACCTGTTCTCTCTCCTACACTGCATATGGTCCCCCAAGCACTGCAGAGCTAGGGCTAGGTTCTGAGCACTTCCAGGTGTGGCCCCCAAACCAAACAGTTTTAAACTCACAACAAATGAACACTAACTACAGAAAACAACAGAGAAATACCAACGACTGCAACAACATATAAATTCTAAGTGACCCTTCCGACTGAGGAGTGTAACCAGCAGCTTTAAAGACTTCAAAGTCACACCTGCTGCTCTTTCCACCATCAAAGTAGGTTTCTTTCTGTGTTGAATTTTTGGGACACACTGTGTTGCTCCAGCATTACTCCTGGCTCTGTGCTCAGGAGCTGCTCCTGATGGTACATGGGGGACCATATGTGGTGCTGGGTATTAAACTCAGGCCTTCTGAAGGCAAGGCATGCCTTCAACCAATTGAGTTATCTCTCTCGCTCCCTAAGTAGGTATTTTTGAATAGTCGTCTTAGAACCCCTAAAATGCTCAAGTGAAGTTCCTGATAGAAACTGTATAACCTGCTATGATGCTATCAGTGGTCATGGTGTGCCAACAAGTCAGATGGGAGAGAGAGGGAGAGAGCACATGCCCATGGGGCTGAGAGCCTGTCGTGCATGTGAGAGTCAGTGTTCAATCCCTGGCACTGCAGGCCCCTGAGCACTGTCAGGAGCACCCTGTGAGCACAGAGTATGGCTGTCAGGCAGAAGTGAAGGGTCCAGGCAGGATCAGACTAACAGACCAGCAGGAGGAGGAATCCAGGGGTGCCCAGGTGTTTGGCTGGCACAGCTGGGACACAGGGTGCCTTTCACTAGATGACAAACAGGAACAGGGAGGGGGCTGGAAGGTGTTATCAGGGTGATGTCCAGAAGCAATTCCATGAGATTGGAGGAAGGGACGCAGCTGAGATTGTGGCCCCTTTCCCAGTTTCCTTAAGGGCCTGGAAGAAGAATGGAGAGGAGCTGGTAGGCAGGCCCGCCCTCTGAACCCACTGAAGAAAGTTCTGGAAGTAACCCATGATGGTTCTTAAGAAAGAAAGGCCTGGGGCTGGAGTCATAGCACAGTGGGAAAGGCGTTCGACCCGGGTTTGATTCCCAGCATCCCATATGGTTCCCTGAGCACCGCCAGGAGTAATTCCTGAGTACAGAGCCAGGCGGCCAGGAGTAACCCCTGTACATTGCCAAGTGTGACCCCCCCCCCCCAAAAAAAAAAGAAAAAAAAGAAAGGTCTGGCCAGAGGTGAGGTGTGCAGGGTTTTACCCTCATCACTTATACCCAAACTGTCTTCTAAAAAGACAAACACCTTACCTTTTGGCAAAGTCCAAATGGTGCTGGAACGTGTTTCTAATGACGAATTACAATCTTGGGTTCCTTCTCTCAGATTCCTACTCCAGGGCCGGTGAGGGTATTATTACATTTTTGGGGGGGAGGGGGGTTGAAGGGATGTGGAGGCCTGGACACATCCACTAGTGCCTGGAGCTCACTCTTAGCTCTGTGCTCATGAATGATCCCTGGTGGTGCTCAGGGGCCACAGGCAGTGCTTGGTATCAAACAGCTAGAGGGGCTGCACACAAGACAAGTGCCTCGCCTCCTGTGCTCTCTCTCCAGCCCAGTTCCAGGAGTTTTAAGGACCACAATTGCCCCTGGGACCACAGTGCATGTCCCTGCAGATGAGGCTCTCCTACCTTGTTTCCTGCTCCGCCCACACGCAGCACATCATCGGGGTTCATCGCGGCCACACACTCGGTCACTAGCTTGTTGCTATGGGACCGGGTGGTGGTGATGATGTGCTTCCCGGCAGGCACTTCTTTCAGCTGAAACCCGAAGGCACCTAAACCCAAAACGCCCCAGATGGTCCGCCCGAGCACGGCATCCGGTCCTGCCTATGGAAGGGAGCAAAACAACAGCAAAGCCTGTCACCACTGGTGGGAAAACGTGAGGCGTCAACAAAGCAGTTAGCTACTTGCATTATGGACTAAACGCGACAACTCTCAAGAGTACAAAGTAACTCCAGAGTAACAGCAGAGACAATTTCCCAGTCATGGGTGCATGGCTCATGGCTGTTTTCGGCAGATATTCGAGTTTCAGAGGTTCTGAACGGATGTCTGGAATCCTCTGCGAAAGCACATGACTGCTGGTTCCTGTTCCTCTATGATTAATCCAAGGAGCTTGTTACTGGGTCTGAAAACACTGTTTGCAAAAGGGTCTGAAGTCCTGGGGAGCAAATACCATGCACGGATCTCTACTTGACTGTGCCCGGTAATGATCAGGGTTACCAGGAAACAGGGCACAGTGCTGTGTGCTTTGCTGCTACAGAGATTATTAGTGTACAGCCACGAATCATGACTTTCCATAGAGCTATGGGTGAGAGGGCTGTACTCCTGCCAGTACAGGATATGAAACTCCCTCTGAAAAGGCCAGAGAATCCTCCACCCCAGTATTCTAACTATAAACTTCATGTTAGAAAAAAAAAACCATAAGCCATATTTCATGACGTATAAAACTGACACATAAAATGACATGCAATGGGGCCAGAGGAATTGTACAGCGGGGAGGGCATTTGCTTGCACATGCCGACCTGGGTTCAACTCTCAGCATCCCATATGGTCCTCTGAACACTACCAGGAGTAATTCCTGAGTGCAGAGCCAGGAGGAACCCCTGAGCATCAACGAGTATGACCCAAAAAGCCAAAAAAAAAATACACAAAAAATGACATGCAGTCATCAAAGCATCCTGCGGTCAACTGTGCCAGGCACACATGCACACACACACATCCAGGGTTTGTCCCAGTCACTCATGCATGCAGGCACCAGACTACGCGCTTGTCTCATTCAATTATCAAACAAGCCCACTAAGGCATTATTTTATAGAGGGGAAATGAAGTCTGGATGAAGTATGCTTGACAAGTATTATGACAAGTGTGCTGACAAGGGTTCTAGGGAGATCACAGCCAAATGCAGACTCAACTGCGTTCAGACCAGCTGTCTTCACTGCCATGTGAAATTGCCTCGCTTTATCGCCACTTTGCTTGGCTGTCAAATGCAAAAATGCATCATGCCAACTGACGGCAGTGCCCTGGATGATGCCTCCAAGTGGCTACTCTGATCAGTCCTGGATCCGTCCCTGTGTCCTCCCTCCACACACTGCCAAGAGCACCTCCCCCTATTTTTTCGAAAAAAAGCATAAGCAGGCACAAGGATGTCCTTCAAGGACTGTATGAGTGTTAAGTGAGGTAACCCAGGGAAATTCCTTGGGTCTGGTAGCACACACCACACTAATTAGGTTTCAGTCTCATCCTGACCAGGCTGATTTCAAATGGAACACCCAGCCCTGAATACCACCAAGAAAGCTAAGAAACTTTTCTGCTTGTCACAACAGAATTGAAGCATGTAAGGGAGAGAGGCAAGAAGGAGCAGGAAGAAGAGAGAGCAAACAGACTGCACAGAGGGGCAGTGGTGAACGAAGAGGCAGGAGGAGGAGACAGTCAGGAGTCGGAAGGGAAGCACAGGAGGGGCCGAGCTACCTGGGGCCACAGCCGCTGCCTCCGTTCTACCTGCGGGCGCAGCCAGCCCTAGCTCTTTTTCTCACCTGTGCTCTGTTGCTGTGCTCCCTTAACTTCTGCTGTTCATTGCTCTGTGGAAAATGAATACAGTTTTTCTGATCTCAGAAATAATGGAAATTATTAATAACTCTGAAGCACTCAGATCATTCTTTGCTGCAAACTGCCATTCACTGCAATACTATTATTTAAATGCCCCTCTTTGAAGTCATAATATGACCTTAAAGAGGACATGATGCACATAGTGTTTATCCTTAAGTAACACTATATAAACACTTCAGTCAGACTAAGGGAATTAATGGTTACTTCAGGAATTCCACGAGAGGCTTTCTCAATAGTCATAACTGTTTGTAGCAAATAATCCTAAGAAGTATATGACTCAAATAACAAGTTATAAGTAAACAAATGACAGAGTAAAAGCCAAATCTTCCATGCAAAAGGAGTTAATGCTGCTCTTAACTCAAACTGGAAATCCAGAAGTTCTAGTACCTAGTCTGTTTCTTCCAGATTCTATCAGGATCACCTGAAGTTAAATATCTTGAGTATTTTACCTCAGCACTTTCCTTTGCAGTTGAGTGTGACTTAAGGATCTGTTCCTGCTTTGAAACTATACCAGCCCCATGCTTCTAGGGAAGTTGACTCTTGAAAATAATAAAGAAAGTCGAGGCAGAAACAGAGATAAAATAAGAGAAAAGAGAGCATGAATGCATTTAGCTCTGTGATAGGTGCTGACTCTAGCTAAGGCAGGAAGCACATTATCTGGGCATGGCTAGCATCTTTAGGCGGAAAAGATTTATGCCATCAAGGTGCTTCAAGATTTGTAATTTTTATTAATTTATTTATTTGCTTTTCTGGGTCACACCGGTGATGCTCAGGGGTTTACTCCTGGCTCTGCACTCAGGAATTATTCCTGGCGGTGCTCGGGGGACCATATGGGACGCTGGGGATCGAACCCGGGTTGACCACGTGCAAGGCAGACGCTGTCTACCCGCTGTGCTATCACTCTGGCCCCCAGGTGTCTTGATGATCAAATGGATCAAGGTGTACTAAAGCAGTAACTTCCTAACATTTGCATTTGAATGTGTAAAGCATACTATCCACGCTTATACAATATATAAATGAGTTCCACTAAATATATGTAACTGGCACGTCTATGCACACACAGCCATGAAGAAACACTCCTGCATCAGAAGGGTGGGATGTGACTGCGGAATGTGCCTTCTGAAAAGCCTGGAGGCTGAGAACACTGGACGTGCAACTGCTGTTCTACAAAGTCTCAAGGTCACATAACACAGCCAGTGTTTACCTGGTAAGGTATTTTTCTAGCACTTACAGTCATACCTGGTAGTTGTAGTATGGCTGATTGATAACTCCTGCGATGGCTTTTCCTTCATAAGCTATTCCAATGAGAACCGTCACGTTATCAAGAAGGCCTAGAAAGAGAGAAATGAATGACGATGAGTCACTTTCTCAAGTTCATCAGCAGCAGCTCATTAACTGCTCAAATGGGGTTTATTTTTGTTTTTGGGCCACACCCAGCAATACTCAGGTTACTCCTTGATTTGTGCTTAGGAATTACTCTTGGCGGTGCCTGGGGGGGTCAATATAGCATGCTGTAGGCTGACTGGGTCAGCTGTGTACAAGGCAAGAGCCCACCCGCTGCATATCATCCCAGTCCCCTGCACAAAGGGCTTGTTCATTTTGACTGTCACAGAGGAGTCAGTTTATTAGTAAAGTGAGGACTGTGGGAAGCCATGGACATACCACATCACAATAAAAATTAATCAAGACATATACTTATATAATTTATAATTCTTTTCTTTTTCGGGGGTTGAGGGACACACTCAATGATACTCAGGGCTAGTTCCTGGTCCAGAACTCAGGAATTATTCCTGGTGGTGCTCAGGGGACTGTATGGGATGCCTCAAACTGAACCTGGGTCAGCCATCTGCAAGGCAAGTGCCCAATCAGCTGTACTACTGCTCTGGCCTCTACCTACAATTCTTTTCTATCCTTTTGTCCTTTTCTTTCTTTCTTCTTTTTTTTTTTTTTGTTTTTGGGTCACACCCAGCAATGCTCAGGGGTTGCTCCTGGCTCTGCACTCAGGAACTATCCCTGGCAGTAATCGGGGGACCATATGGGATGATGGGAATCGAATCTGGGTCGGCCGCCTGCAAGGCAAACGCTGTGCTATCACTCCAACCCCTCTTTTCTATACTAAGTAATTTCTAAGGCACACTCATTCGAACTGGAATGGTAATACATATATTTTCTTTCCAATGTAAGTCAAGACAATTACCCTGACAGGACAAAAACAGGCCGAGATTGCAAGTGACCGACCTGGGTTTGATCCCGGCACCACAGATGGTTGCTCAAGTACCACCAGAAGTGACCCCTGAGTGCAGAGGCAAAGGAAGCCCTGAGCACCACCAGGGATGACCCAGTCCCCTCTCCCCACCTAAAACAATAAGTAAATGCAATAGAGGAGAGAGAATTGTGACATCTTACTTGAGATTCAAAACTAAGTGTGGGGGTGCATGTGTGTCTAATTTCCTTCACTCTCAGTATAATCTCTCCAGTACAGATTCTCAGCTGTCTAGATGCCAAGAAAAGTTGTCTAGCATTTCCCTATTTCCAATCGGATTACAGACACATTTCCAGCATCCACACCGACAAACAAGCACGGACACATTACAAGATGCACTCAGCTCATCTAAGGACACAAAAGAAACTTTTAGTAATTTATGAGTTTTCTTTTGTGAAGCCATAAAGCTGAGAGCCAACATACAAAACAAAAGTCAATCTTGCTTTCAAAAACAATGCTAAGCTTATGCTCTACTTCTGTATCTCCAGCTCTTTAATTAAGAGGAATTAAAGCCCAGCTCTTCTTGCTTTAATGCTGCTGTTTTATTTCAGCTTGCTTCTTGCTTATTTTTCCTCATCGGAGATCATTTCAGAATAGAGAATAATTGCACTATGTTTGGAAACCCATCTATATAGGGCGGCTGTGAGGCAAGATGAAGGCTCTCAGCTGAGAATCAGAAATGAGGAGTACCGTGTTCTAATTCTCCTGGGGCAGAGGGTGAGGCATAAATGCTGTGAGGCTGGTCCAGTGTGGAAAGGAAGGGGCTTGCTTTGTAGCCTGAGGATCCTGGTTTGATCCCTGGCATCCCTATAGGGTCCTCCGAGCACCTCTTGGAGTATCACTGAGTGCAGAGCAAGTAGTCAGCCATGAGCACTGCCACATGTGGTCCCACAAAACAAAACCATCACAACGAAAGAAATCAGATGCACAGTAAAAGGCTAGAAGGGACAGCAATATGGCTTTAGGGTTCAGACTTAATATACAAACACTGATACCCGCTTTTTGAACAACATACGAAATCTCAGATGTTTCCAACTAAACAATACACAAATACACAAGACCTGTTGCTGTACGATAAAAGAAGGTATCAACTTGGGGCTCAGGTGCCGAGCACTGTAGCACTGTTCTTCCGTTGTTCATGGATTCACTCGAGTGGGCACCAGTAACGTCTCCATTGTGAGACTTGTTACTGTTTTTGACATATCGAATATGCCACAAGGAGCTTGCCAGGCTCTGCCATGCGGGCAGGATACTCTCGGTAGCTTGCCGGGCTCTGAGCACAGGCCTAAATTTGCATGGCAGCCCAGCCTGGCTCCCAGAGTTTGGTCTGGTATAACCCATGACCACCGCCCCCTCCCCTCACCCCCCAAACACACTGCTGTGTATGAACCCGACATTTTAAGAAAAGATACTTACCTTCAGTATATTCCTTGGTGCCATCTAGAGGATCAACCCAGACCACAAGCTTTAAAAGAAAAAGAAAAGAATATTTTTCCCCCCCAGATTATTGCCCTGAGAATACAATTAATAATAGCTAGAGAGCGGAGGAGAAACCAGTCAGATGGTGCTGCACTTGGAACTGGCAGGTCAACTGTTCGCGTGAACTGACATTTCTACAGAGACTGGGAGAGACTTTCAGTTCTGGTTGTCCCTACTACATAACTACCAACGTTTCCTTGTCATGAGCAAACACTCAGTTCCTTTACGTGGCGATTAGCGGGGTGTAATGAGAAGCCAGGACTGGGGCTCTTACGTCTTCCTCTCTGATTTCACTGTACTGTGGTGGGCACGGCTGCCTCAGAATCTCCTCCCACTGCCCATCCTCAATCAGCTCTTGATCGACGTCTTGCGCGGGCAGATCCTAAAGCAGAGAAAACGGCCATCACAAAGCAGTTCAATGTTCACAGAGTTCCTTTTGCCTCAGGAAGAGAAGGAATGCAACATTAGTTTTCACTAATTCTTCCTGTTGATCATTTATGTATAGAGCTTTGATTTATTTTTTGGTTTGGGGGCCATACCCAGTAGTGCTCAGGGCTTCCTCCTGGCTCTATATATAGGGATCACTCCTGGTGGGCTTAGGGAACCATATAAAATTCCAAGGATAGAACCCAAGTTGGGTGCATTCAAGACCAACGCCCTGCTTGCTGTATTATTTCTCTGGCCCCTGTTTAGAGTGTTTAAAGCAGTCTCTTGAACAAATGAAGCTGGGAAAGCCAGATGGCCCATGCAAGAGAATGATGCCGAACCACTCTCTGACTCCATATACAAAAGTAAACCTAAAACGCATTACAGGATCCAGAGCGATAGCCCAGCAAGGAGGGCATTTGCCTTGCAAGTGGCTGAACTAGGTTTGATTCCTGGTATCCCGAATGGCCCCTTGAGTATCACTAGGAGTAATTCCTGAGTGCAGAGTTAGGAGTAATCCCTGAGAATTGCCAGGTATGACCCAAAAAGCCAGAAAAAAAAATGCATTAGAGGGCCAGAGAGATAGCACAGGGGTTAAGGCACTTGCCTGTATCCCATCAAGCCCAGTTTGAACCCCCAGCACCATACATGGTTCCCCTGAGCACCGCCTGGAATCACCCCAGAGCAGAGGGCCAGGAGTAGCCCTAGAGCACCATCAAGTATGTGCCCCCCTCTCCCCCAACCAAAAAAAAAATGGCAGTTAAGACTTTTTTAGGTCCATGTAAGACCTAAACTTCGGGGCCCACAGAGCCCATGAAGAGCACATGACAAAGCATTCCATGACATGGGCATTAGACATGTGATAGAACACCTGGTCCAAGAGCAGATGCGAAGGTAAAGAAAACAAAAACAGGGGCTGGAGCGATAGCACAGCAGGTAGGGCGTTTGCCTTGCATGTGGCCGACCTGGGTTCGATCCCTGGAATCCCATATGGTCCCCCAAGCACCGCCAGGAGTAATTCCTGAGTGCAGAGCCAGGAATAACCCCTGAGCATTGCTGGGTGTGGCCCAAAAAGAAAAAAAAAAACAAGAAATAAAAGAAGATAGACCATTGAGCATTGTACCACTGTCCTCCGTTGTTCATCGATTTGCTGGAGCGAGCCCAGTAACATTGTGAGACTTGTTACTGTGTTTGGCATATCATATACATCACGGGTAGCTTGCCAGGCTTTGCTGTGCGGGTGAGATACTCTCGATAGTTTGCCTTGCTGGGCTCTCAGAGAGGGGTGGAGGAATCGAACCCAGGTCGGCCATGTGGGCCGTGTTCAAAGCAAACACCCTACCTGCTGGGCTATCACTCCAGCCCAAATCAGTGAACGTTAAATATAAAACTAAGATTATCCAAGGACAGGGAATGGGAGAAAGATTAAGAAATAATAAAAAAACCAAGTAAAATGACAAAAATGACCATTCAAGGCTCATAGAATCTGATTACACTGTCCTCCCGTTATTCATCAATTTTCTTGAGCGGGCCCAGTAATGTCTCCATTGGAGACTTTGTTGTTACTGTGTTTGGTATATCGAATACATCACGGGTAGCTTGCCAGGCTTTGCTGTACAGGCAAGATACTCTCGGTAGCTTGCTGGGCTCTCCGAGAGGGGCGGAGGAATCGAACTTGGGTCAGCCATGTTGGCTGCGTGCAAGGCAAACGCCCTGCCTGCTGTGCTATCGCTCCTCTTGCACAGAGGTTTAAAGTGTTCAGAAAAAGAGAAAAGCACTGGAATGCTGAAGTGATAGTACAATGGGGAAGGTGTTTACATTGAATGGGATCAACCTGGTTTGATCCCCAACATCCCATAAGGTTCCCTGAGCACCACCAGGAGAGATTCGTGAGTGCAGAGTCAAGAGTAACCCCTGAGCATTGCTGGGTATGACTCAAAAAGCCAAAAAAAAAAAAAAAAAAAAAAAAAGTGGGGTCAGGTGGAGGAAAGTATGCTAAACTTACACTGTTACTTCTACTCTCTCAAATACAAGCTACTTCTACTGAGAGGCCAATTCCTCCCCTTCCACAATGACAGGTATGACCTGCAACCAAGTGTGTAAGCAACTCTGAGAGAAACAGTAACATGCCTTTGATCCCAAAGTTCCAGAACTCCATAGTATGCTGAACATAACAGTAACTAGTTTTTTTTTTGAGGGGGAGGGTCACACCGGTGATGCACAGGGGATGCTCCTGGCGGTGCTCAGGGGACCATATGGGATGCTGGGAATTGAACCTGGGTCGGCCTTGTGCAAGGTAAACGCCTTACCCGCTGTGCTATCTCTCCAGCCCAACAGTAACTAGATCTTGGCATAGGGCCAAAATATTTACAAATCGACATTTTCTACAAGTCCATTGACAAGACTCTCACTTTTCTGTCAAAACACTAGATATAATGCTTATGGGGGGTTTTGTTTTTTTCTATTGCTTGGGACTGAACTCAGGGTTTCCCACATGCAAGGCAAGTGCTCTATCCCTAAGCTCCACGCCACGGCCCTAGAAAGATGATGCCTGAAACTGCTATAGCGACCGACACACAAAGCAGAAATGACAAATTTACGATGGGAAACTGTGAAGAAACACTCATCGTTCCCTCTTACCTCCTCCCCGATGATGGTGAGCTTGGGGAACTTGCGCGCCAGGGAGGAGCAGATGCTCATCTGGACCATGCGGTCCGCTTTGGTCTGCAGGTCGGTGGCGCTGGTCTGCACAGAGGAGGCAAGTTTTCAGAGCATGAATGTGAAGCAGGTTGTCCGTGGCTGCACACACACTTAAATGTCTGTGTTACTTAAATCACCATTTCCAGGTTCACAGAATCAACAGCAAATGAGCCAGTATGTAGCAGCATGTTTGGCTCTTCTCAGGAGATGGACAGTAGTGAAAGGTTGGAAAGAAGCTTCTATTGGGGTCAGAGCAACAGTGCAACAGGGAGGGCACGTAGCCCACCCGGCACCCCCATGTGTTCCCCTGAACCCGCCAGGACTAAATCCTGAGCACTATTGGGTGTCGCTCTTTTGTTTTTTGATATGTATTTACTTAGGATTTGGGGGACCACACCTATGTGTGCTCACCAGCTACTTCTGGCTTGGTGCTCTGCCCATGAGCATTTCAAGTATGACCCTCCATGCCCCACCTCCACCACCAAAAAGCATTTTTAAAATGTGAAGAAATTTGAACTAAGGACCTTCTAATCTCCTTAAGGGAGGCAGAGGAGATTATTTCCAGATTAATGCCTGTATGGCTCCCTGCCCCCTTCAGCTACACGGAGGTTCCTGGTTACCTTCTCCACGATACCCAAGTCCCCCTCAGCAATGACACGCCGGACGATCCCTCCCGCCTTCTGTGCGATGGAGTATGCGGAGGCCACCAGCCGCATGAGCACTGTGGGCCCGGACGCCATGGCAGGTCCTGCAGGGAAACAGAGAGAAGTGCTCGGGGACAGCCAAGTCAACTGCTGGCCGCAACCGCTTGACTTTCATTCGATACAAATTTATCGAGTGTTTACCTGGAACAGCCCAGTTCACTGTGGCTATTCTTAATTAAGCAAACAGATTTGGAACTTAAGCAGAGATTTGGAACTAAGACTACCATTTCAGCATGTACTTTCTGGACAAATTCTAGAGTACTCTTTCCACACAGAGAGGCTATCTGAAGCCGGAGGGGGAGGGGGGGGAGAGGGAGAAGCCTGCTTGAATTGTAATGTGCACAGTGCTAAGAGTGTAGAAGTACTTTGTGGGCTGCAAATAGAAGCTAAAAGGCACCGACACTGAAGCAATTGAGATCTTGGTGGCTTTGGGGCAAAATGCTGCAAGTGATTGTCTCTACAAGCCAGAACAGGAAAGTGTCAAGTGAAGTAAGGGGGTCTCTAGTGATTCTGGCACATAGTTGAGTCAGCAGAGGAGGAACTGCATGCCATTATGATTTTGAATGTTTCTGAACATTCAATGAATAGTCCTTTAGAAACCAAATAAAATTTAATCTGTTTGTTATTTCTTTTTTGTTTGCCTTTTATTGGGGGAGGGTGGCTACACCCTGTGGTGCCCAGGGCTTATACCTGACTGCTCAGAAGTCAGTCCTGGTGGTACTCAGGGGACTATATCTTGTACTGGGTACCAGGTCAACCAGGTGCCAGGCAAGCCCCAGCCCACTGTGCCATCTCTTCTCTGCAGACAGCTTATTTACTCCATCCTCATCAGCAGCCAAATCAAGAGAGCAAGACGCATGACTGGACAGAGATTAATACTCATCTGGAAACATAATGGCCCCAATCTAAAACAAAATGTAAGGGGCGGAGCAATAGCATTTGCCTTGCATGCAGCCAACCCGGGGTTTGAAACCTGCGCTACATATGGTCCCCTGTGTGTCACCAGGAGTGACTACGAGCCGAATCAGGTGTAAGCCACCACCAGGCATGGGGCCAAACAAAGTATTTTGTTAGTCAAGTATATTGTTCTTTGAAAACACGAATGTAGGGGTCAGAGCAAGTGCTAAGTGGTGCTGCCCACTGATGCAGGAGACCCAGATTCAATTCCGGGCACTGCGGAATGTGCCCTTGCATTGGTATTGGTCACCCCCAATGAGTATGATTTCAAAGCAGAGGGGAGCCAAACACAGAACCCAAAGGACAGTAAATTCCTTGGCACAGCACCACCCTGCACCCACTCCGACTGGAGACCTGGTTTGATATGCCCACATGCCACTCGGTACCTTTGCCCTCTCCCCCAAAGTCATGGCAATCATGAACTCACCTGAGAGAGAACCTCAGAGTTTGAAACCCTTAAGATGGCAGAGAACTGAAAGGAAGGGAAGGGGATGAATTCCTATTCAGGATCCAGAGGAAAGAAAATGGGCTCTGTGGGTGCTAACTGTTCATCTCACAATCTCATTAGTGAACCACAGCCATCTTCCCTTATAGCACAACGGGTAGGGCGTTCGCCTTACAAGCGGCCAACATGGCCGACCCGAGTTCGATTCCTCCGCCCCTCTCGGAGAGCCCGGCAAGCTACCGAGAGTATTCGATATGCCAGACACAGTAACAACAAAGTCTCCAATGGAGACGTTACTGGGCCCGCTCGAGCAAATCGACGATCAACGGGGGGCCTCCCTTATGTAAATACTCAGTATTTTCACATGGAATAAACTTATGAAAATGATGAATGAAGCTCATTGGAGCAGCTCAACTAGAAAACAGGAGGAAAAGTTTACCTAGCACTGACAGGCCTTACCAATGCTCCCTTGTATCTCTGCCCACTCCTGGATCTGGTTTCTTCCGCACCAGAAAAGGTGGTATCAGGCAACTAAGCTCACCTGCCCAGATATGATAACCAGTGTGGCCAGTGCAGTATTCAGGGGCACGCTCTTTGGTCCCGATCGTATGAAGGCCTCACCTGTGAAGACAGACCCTTCCCCTCACCATCCTGAGTGTCCAGAGAGACCCTTTACCTTTGAGCCAGTTGGGTAACCACTGGGCACGGCTGGCCTTCACCTCTGCCCAGTCATTCCCAGTCTATGCCAAGCCCACAGCATTGAGTTTCTCTCCAGAAAGACTTTAGACTTTTTCTTCTACCACACCCTTCATGCCTTGCAGGCTGCATTTAGGAACCCCCATTCACAGTTAGCCCCAGGGTTGGCCCAGTCTGAGACTTAACTCAGTGGGGTGAACGCCTGCTCAGCAGAGGGGAGGGAGGGATCACCTACTCTGCAGGGGGGGAAGTGGGGATCACCTGCTCTGTAGGGGGAGGTGGGGTTCACCCGATCTGCAGGGGGGTGGGGGAGGCGGGGATCACCCGCTCTGTAGGAGGACATGGGGGTTCCCTTCCCAGCAACTCTCTAGGCACAGAGCTAGACCCTGAGCACCGAGGATATGACCCAGAAAACAAACTATAAAAAATAATAAAGTGAACCTGTTTAATAAGAATGTGAACACTCTGATTTGACGTAAAGTAAAAACAATAGTCTATTAAGAGATACTGTAAACCACTTTTTTGGGGGTGCAGGGCACATCCAGCAGTGCTGAGGGCTCACTTCTGGCTCTGTGCTCAGGAATCACTCCTGGCAGAGCTGGGGGAACCATATGGGGTGTTGGGAATAGAACTCAGGTCAACCACGTGCTATACATATATAAGCTACAACATTTATAGGCTCTGGGCCTATAAATCACTTTTAATGGGTAAATAAGGAAATAATTCGACTGCTTTCTCTGACATACTTCTGTGGTACAAACTGAACTGGTAATGAAACCTTACTACCCTCTAGCCCTAATATGTCTCTGACATAATTTTACACCCATAAGTGTAATTTTATGGTATAAAAATAGAACTAGCCATGTTACTAAAATTCCAAAATTCTAAAAAGAGGGTCCCTTAGCCTTAAAAACAAGCAAACAAAAGGTCTCTGTATTTTAAAAATTGTGACTGGGGTCCCTGCCGGTACTAAGGGGTCCATGAGATGCAGGGGATCAAATCTGGAGCCATACTACATACCCAAGGCATGTGACCTAGCTCTGAACCACATTTCTGGCCCCCTATAAGCCCTTTGAATTCTTCTTCCTCAGGATCCCCAAATGAGAATAATATGACTGGTTCAGGTAGGCAAAGAGTGAGGCCAAAAAGCTACCTGAAAGTTGATCACTTCCTTGTAGCAGTTGGAGTTACACCCACGTACTCTGCAGTTTCATGCTATCTGGGTCCTGAATTCCACCAAGAACAGCCTTTCTGAAAGTTGACTGAACCATAGACTCATGGCACAGGGCTGTCAGCCTCTGTTCCTATCTTAGCTCCTGACCAGATTAGATGAGGCCAGGAAAAGTCACTCAGGTTCTCTGTGCGTCCATCTGCAGTATAGACAATATTTGCACAGGATTGGAGCCATGACTGAATGAGCAGCCCACAGGCAACACAGTCCTGGGCACAGAAATACAGGCTCATCCTGATTTTTCTGCTTCTTGTTACAGGTGCTTCTGCAAGAACACTAGGGCAGGACTTAGGGTGAACTTTTCCTATAGCTTCTGTAATGCCCTTCTGAGGGCGAGGTTGGGATACAATTACAATATAATGCTGAATCACAGCCCAGATTCTCGTTCTGGCCTGCAAAAATTAGCACAGATGGAAAGAGGTTATATAATGTTTAAGAAAATCGACCTCATATGAAATCTTCACACGCTGAAGAGATAGGACAGGGATTAAAGCACTCCATTTGCATGTGACCAATCCTGGTTGGATCTCTGGTCCAGAACCCTTATGGGAGTAAACCCTGAGCACAGAGCTGGGAGTAGCTCCCAAGGCAAAATAAAATCAAAACCACAGAAAAACTTTGGTGCTGTCAACCGAGCTAGCTCAGAAAGACTTAAAAAAATAGAAATCAAATGATTGCTTCAGAATATTTTGAACTTAACATAAAGATTGTAAACATATGAGAATTAGGTTCTGAAATGAATGAATTTCTGGTATCATTCATCTTTTGATTTTTTTTCTTTTGGGGTCACACCTGGCGATCCACAGGGGTTACTGCTGGCTCTGCACTCAGTAATTACTCCTGGCAGTGCTCAGGGGACCATATGGGATGCTGAGAATTGAACCCTGGTCAGCCGTGTGTAAGGCAAACACCCTACTCGCTGTACTATCACTCTAGCCCCTCATTCATCTTTTGAAATTTGATCAAATGGTATTAAAGTTCATGGTCTCTGTGCAAAGCAGAGAAAATTCTGAAAAAAGAACAACAAATGACTCTCTTTGCCAGTTATCAAAATAGGATGTTAAGACAAAAAGACACAAAACATTAGTTACTAAAACATTTTGATATCAGGCAGAATTAGACAAGCAATAGTTAAAATTCCAGATAAATCAAAACACACTAGAGTTATCATTTCTGAGTGTAGGTGAAAATTAGTTGTGCAGAAGGATCAGAGGAAAATATTGAGTCTTTTTTACATTCTTTATAGCAATACATATCCCAGAAAATCACAATTTGATTTTTTTAAACTTGAGCCACTGTGATTTACAATGACATTAGTATTAGTGTCTCATGAATATAATAGTGCACAACTTTAAAATGGATTCGTAACATGAGGAAATAAAACTTGGGCATAATGTTTTAGTCTGGTTGTCAAGGGTGTTCTTGTCGTTGGGTTTTTGTGCCACATTCAGGGGTGCTCCGGGAACTGGGTAGTCCTGGGATCCACCAACGGCAGGCATATTGCAAGCAACCGCCTTCACCCCTGCACTATCTTTCTGATCCCCCCAAATAAAGAACTTTTAAATATGCATTTAAAAAAGAACCAGGGGCTGGAGCGATAGTACAGCAGGGAGGGCATTTGCCTTGCACATGGCCAACTGGGGTTCGATTCCCAGCATCCCACATGGTACCCCGAGCACTGCCAGGAATAATTCCTGAGTGCAAAACCAGGAGTAATCCCTGAGCATCCCTGTAACCCCCCCCCAAAAGTGAAAAAGAACCAATACAAGACTACATTAACACATCTTTATGAAAGATAAAAACATTTTTTACATCTATATAGCCCAAATATTTTAAACAAAAAAATCGTATCACATATTAGACAATTTTGTTACGGAGGGCTTTAGCTTTTAAATAGATCAACATATAAACGATGAACAAGTAACAGAAAATGAACACAGGGGAGGAATAGGCAATTTCTGGAACAAGAAAAGCAAGGGCCATTAAGTATGCGAGCTCAACCTTACTGCCTGAAAGATGCTTCATGTGGATGAGATCGGTGTAAACAGAAAAAGTTGGCTCCGCATGGCCCAGGAACTCTCAGAACCTGGTCGCTTGGCTGTGAGGCGGGGCGACCTCTCAGGACCTTTTGCACTAGCAATGCTATCTTCAAGGTCACTGAAATAAATCAAAACTCTGCAAACTAAGCAGCAAAGAGAGAAGGAAGTAGACGGGCATTTCAATGAAATTTTAGGTATAGATTAAAACGGCAACATCTGGGTGGTCTCACAGCCCCTATCACCTCTCTAATAACTGGGCATATTGGATAAACCCGGAGCAGGTAAACAAAGCACCAAACGAATTCGTGAGTGCCACCGAACGTTGGCACTCACGAATCTGCCTCAGAAAATACAGGGGGCAGGGGAGCGTCTCGGCCGCAGAGCACGCACGAGCCCCGAGTGGCAGCTCTTAGCAACGCGAAAGAACTGAGATACCTGGAGAGGCGACCTGCTTGCAACCGTTCACACTTAAAAACTAGAGAAGTCCCTGGCATCCTCTCATATCCTGCGCTGGGTGGAGTCTCAGGAAACCGAGACACCACGAGGTTTGCTGATAGCAGGAGAAACTTACTGGTGTTGACCGGCCGGAAACAGAGTTAGAGAACCTTCCCGGGCAAGCAAGATCGAGCCTCCAAACCGCTGGCCCCGGGGTCGCGGAGTCCGCTCGCTCCCGGTCAATCAGAGTGCGGGCGCGGGCCGGCGGGGCGCGCGGGCTCTGCGCATGCGCCGGCTGGCGAGGGCGGCCCCGCCCCCGCCTCCAGGCCCGTGCGTGTGCCCCGCCTCCAATTACGCGTGCAACAGTCGGTTACCCTGGGGGCTCACCGTGACCCAGACCCCCCAAATCCTTCGAACTGTCTCCGTAGACCCCATTGTGTGCTATCTTTTCCTTCATTAGTTTTCCGTTTGCGATGGGGAGGGGGCCCGGAATCAAATCCTGGGCCTCGTGCATGTTGTTTATGCCCGGAGCTCTAGTTGGTCCCAGCTTTTTATTTATTTTGGCCCTTGGGCCAACTCTGCTGTGCTCAGGGCTTGCTCCTGGTGCTGTCTCAGTGGTCATTCCTGGCGGTGCTCAGACCTTTTGGGATTTCAAGAATTGAATCCGGGCCCGCCACTGCAAGTCAAAAGCCCTACCCGCTGTACTGTCTTCGTCCCCAAGCCCCCACTTCCTTCTTGGCTTTTTGGGTCACACCCAGCGAGGCTCAGAGGTTATTCCTGGCTCTGCACTCAGGAATTACTCCTAGCGGTGCTCGGGGGACAATATGGGATCTGGGAATAGAACCCGGGTTGGCCGCGTGCCGGGCAAACACCCTACCAGCTGTGCTATCGCTGCAGACTCCCCCAGGCCCCTTTTAATTTTTGCTGAGTTTTCTATTAGTATCTTTACTCCGGATGCAAGCTGGATTTAGCTTGCGTGCCTGATGATTTGGAAGATCCGTGCCCAAGCACACTTGGCAGTGAAAAGCATTGATGGTGACCCATTTTCCAGCACATCTGGCAGAAACCCGTGGTTAGTTGCCCCAGATGCGGAAGTTTTCGGTAATACAGGGACAGATCCAGGATAAGAGACTATCTGAGAGGGTTTATGATGCTGCTATGAATTCCCCTCGCTGACGCGGTGCCGCCCACACTACGAGCCGGCACTGGAGAAGGACGCCGAACCGAGGGCTCCAGTGCCTGTAAAACTACTAGCAAATCTTACCAGCAAAGGTCTGGTAGGAAGAGAAAGTGAAATTGATCATAGTTTTACACTAGTTGCACGGCGAAGCGATGATGTACTGGAAAGACGGGGCTAATGAAAGACATCTGAGAAAAGCAAAGGGATGAGAAATGTTAGCGAGGTCGGGAATCTGGCACCGGCCCTCACCCTCTCCGCGGCCAGATTCGCCCTGGGCACTGGAGCCGCGACCCGGACGTGATTCCACCTGCGTTTGGAGGTCACCGAGGTGCCCCGCCTTTTCCGGCCCTCCGCGCGTGCGCACTCTAGTACAGCTCGCGGAGGTTTCTCGGTGGTCCCCACGGTCCCGGGCGGGAGCAGCCGCGTAGCTGGCGCTGTCCGGGACGCCCGGCTGGGCCAGCCATGCGTTGGGGCGCGGTCCCCTGCGGGTCGGGGCCGGCGGCCCTGGCCGCCGCGCGGAGTTGGTGGGCGCCGCCCCGCTTTCCCTGCGGGGCGAGGTGGCGAGGGGCGCCGTGGGGACCTCCGGCGCGGGCAGTCACCGGGGCCAGCAACCAGCCGCGGGACGCGCGGGGCGGCAAGTACCGGGACACCGTGCTGCTGCCGCGGACGGGCTTCCCCATGAAGCTGCTGGGCCGCCAGCAGCCCGACATGGAGCTGGAGATCCAGCAGGTCGGAGCCCGGCGCGGGCGCTGCGGGAGGGAGGGCGTCGAGGCCGCCGCGGGCCACCTCTGCTCAGGCCCTGGGGTGGGCGGTGGGCATCGAGAGCCCCCTGCAGACCGGGGCGCTGGCCGGCCCCAGGACGGATTTCTTAGATTTCGCCCCACTGGACATGCCCCTATGCCAGCCTAAGCACCCCCGCCCGGCTCGGATTTTCCCCAGTGGCTTGCAGAAAGCGGTGGACCTGCACTCGTGCGCGTCCAAGCACTTGGTCCCGCGAGTAGGTGGCAGCTTGCTGTCATGGGATCCCGGATGCCAGTGCCTTGAGTTGTTGAAAGGATCCGGTCGTGGGCCTGTTCCTGAGGAGCCCCCCCCCCCCCCCCCCCAGCAACTCTGCCTCCATCTCCTTCATTTAGACGGAAATTTTGCTTTTTCTTTCTGGGTTTGATTTTGTTTTTGGGTTCCACCCCGCTGAGGGCTGGGTGCTGGTGAGATGGGGGGGGGGCCTTGGATTCCGGAATTGAACCCAGGCCTCCTGCGTTGAAAATGTGTGCTCAGCCCTTCCAGTGCACTCCCAGGTCCCATGCTTTGAATTAATTATTATTATATTTTTAACCCCCAGACCTGTCGGTACTGACCTGGAGCACCTCCTCCTGCTTGGTGCTCTGGGGTCCCTGAGGATCGGATGGAGCCCTGCCAGGAGTGTTCTGGGAGTGAGCCATGAGCACACAGGGTGTGGCCCCAAAACAAAAACCCAAACCAACAACAACCAAAACTAACCCCACAAAACTGCATAAAGCTTTTAACGTGGTGGCTTTTCATATATGCATTTTAATTTAGTTTGGGGACCACATCCTGCAGTGTTGGGAGTTCCCTGTGGTACTGGGGGTGGGGTGGGGTGGGGAATACTTTCATACAGCGATGGGGATGCAACCCTGGCCTCCTGCATGCAAATCCAGAGCTCTGCCTGTTGAGTGCTCTCTGGCCCCTCAGATGAATCTTTAGAAACCTCTTCCATTTTGCCGGGCCAGAGCCGTAGTAGGCACTTGCCTTGCACATAGCTGACCTGGGCTCCATCAGCATTGGAGGGTGTTTCCCAAAATCCAAAACACCAAGAAGAAACTTAATTCATTTTTGAATAGCTTGCACAGTGGTAGGGCATTTGCCTTGCACGCAGCTGACATGGCCGACCCGAGTTCGATTCCTCCACCCCTCTCGGAGAGCCCGGCAAGCTACCGAGAGTATCTCGCCCGCACGGCAGAGCCTGGCAAGCTCCCCGTGACGTATTCGATATGCCAGACACAGTAACAACAAAGTCTCCAATGGAGACGTTACTGGGACCGCTCGAGCAAATCGACGAACAACGGGAGGGCCTTTACTTTTACCTTTAAGATGAGAAGTAGCAAATGCTGGCTAATATTTAAGGTTAGCTGGTCATTCTGAGGGCTAGCATGCAGGCTGACAGTGTTTGTGGCTGGGTCTGAGCCCCACTACCACATGGTCCGCTGGGGACTGCTAGATGTGGCAGCCCCAAACATCAGAAGGAAGACTCGGGCGTATTTACTTATAGGATGTTTTATTTTTAAACAGAAATGTGGATTTTCAGAACTTTATTCGTGGCAAAGAGAAAGGAAAGTAAAGAAGGAATTTTGTCTTCATGATGGACCTCCCTATGCAAATGGTGACCCTCATGTGGGACATGCTTTAAATAAGGTAATTATGTGGCCTTGTTCGCTTGTGGGAGAACCTTCCTGGGTGGACTTGACAGAAGTTTGTATTTGGACTCTTTGATACTTTTGTAAATTTGCAGTGGCACCTAACATTAAAGTCTGAGTTGGGACTAGCCATAGAAGGTTGAGTATAGCGTGAAAAAAAAATTGCTGCTATTTGCCTTGAGCCAGCGCTTACTCTGGCAAATACAATTATGTTCAATAAGTGATTTCCCGAGCAGCCATTCTATGCCAGGCATCACTGTAGGTTCTGGGACTAGCAGTGAACAAAATTGAGTCCAAGCCTTATCCTAGGGAGCGTATGTCCTTGTCGAGGAAAGGGAAGCAAAATGTGTTGGTGACTTAGAAAGTTTCTGCAGACTGAAGGTGTGTTTCCCTTCACCACATTCTTTCACTGCAACCTAAACCCCATTGTGCTGTTGGTGGGTCTGGACAGTGGTCAGGGCATGGGGGCAGAGTGTGGGTAATGGAGAGATGGTGGTGGTTTGAGACCAGATCATGGCTTCACCAGCCATGGGTTCTGCCGGGGCCATGCTTTTGGGCCTCCCCATGGAGCAGTTAGCTCTGTGAGAAACCCACTCCTTCATATTTTTCTCCCAGTTAACGGGGTTCGCTCTAGCAGACAGTGGGACACTGAAACTGCTGTGAGGGCAACAAGGGAGCCAGACGGGCTGGTTGTGCCAGTCTCAGTTCTAGTTGAATTGTCCAGGTGGCCATTCCAGCTGCTGGAGTCATGGGAGACTGCAGGGGAGGTGGGAAAAGCTGGGTGTAGAGACCTTGCACGTTTCCTGCGTGTGCTGGAAGAATAGTGTGTTTTCTGGGGCCTCACCCAGTGGTGTTCAGGTATAACCTGGTGATGGGGACTGAACCATGGTTGGTCAGGAGCAGAGCAAGCAACATGAGCCCTGTCCTGTCTCTCTGGTCCCCTGGATTTGTCTTAGTAAGATCTTGTTTGGCTGCAGTGTTGGCTGTAGACTAATGGTCGAGGGGGTGTGGAAAGAGGAGCCCAGTCAAGGTAGTATTTAGTACAGCCGGAGAGATGCTTTGGAGCAGCAGGAAAGCCTGGTGGAGAAACAGTTGGATCCGGGTCAACTTCAAAGGTGGAATCAATTGCATTTGCTCACAGGTTGCATGTGGGGTGTGAAAGTATTAGGTGAGTTCTAGAGGTTCCAGAGAGCAGCCGGGAATAGTTCAGGTCTTGGCAGGTTCCCTTCTGATGAGCTTGGGACAGAGACCCAGGCTGGCCATATTGGGTCATCAGCATATCCTGACTAGGCTTTGGTTTGGTTTGGTTTGGTTTTGAGGGGTGGCTGCAGGCTTGATTTTAAATGCTAAGTGAACTGAGTGAGAGCTCCAGGTTCCTTTAAGGACTAAACTTGATTCCCCTGGGTGCCACACAGGCTTTCTCTTTGCCCTCTTTGGTGAAGGTCAAGGTGCTTGAGTAGCTTAATGACAGTAATTTAGTGCTGGGGTCCTACCTGGTAAGAAACAGATTTAGCACAAGGTGTATCTCAGCTTCCCCTTTCCTTTCTAAGTCATCCTCACCTCGATCAGGCTAATGAAATCATCTTATTTTTCTCTCCTTGAGTTTTTTAAGTTATTTGGCACCCCCTAAAGAAGGCCCCAAGAGAATGCATATTTTGCTAAGTAGAGCAGTTATTTCCACATGCCTGCCTTTTGCAAAGCAAAAATTTTGTTGCATGATATCAGTTTCTACTGAGTATAGAAAAGGATTCAAACCTTACATTCTTGGTCAGTTCATTTCAGGAAGGAGGTTTTCTGCTTCATTATTTCCCTGAGCCGACTGTGGCTTGCTTGGTGTTTTAAAATGACATTAAGAAAAGGGCCTGGCACTTTAGTCAGCTTAATCAGTGGCTGTATAAATAGCAGTTCTCCTACATTTAAAAAAAGAAGAAGGAGGAAAGCAAAGGATCTGGGAGCCAGGAAGGTAGTACAGAGGTTGAGGCGTTTGTCTTGGATGTGGCCAACCCAAGTTTCACCTCGGTTACCACGTGGTTCCCCCATCACTACCCGAAGTACCCCTGAGCAGCAGCTGCTTACTGTCCAACACCCACAAAAAGGAGGGGGGGGGGGCTGGATTCAGAGAGAGAGTTTAGTGGGCTGTAGCACATGCATGCAGGAGACTTGGTTTAGATTTGGCCCCACAGTGTTGCCTGCTAGGAGTAACACCCCTCCAAGGAAAAAGAGAGATAGAAGAAAGAAAAAGCTGGAAAGATGTATGGGGCCATTTGCATGCTGTCTTTGTTTAAGAATCTGAGTTTGATTCCCAGCACAGCATGGAGCCCCCAGCACAGCTAGCCGAGTGAGCATTGAGGGACCTTGCTTGCTGTGATGAGTGTCATGGGGCTGTCCCCTCTTGTCTCCTTCCACTCCCCACACTGCCCCACCCCACAAAGAAGGGCTCTAAATCGTCTGTCATATGATTCTCATTTTATCTTTGCAGATTCTGAAAGACATAGCCAACCGGTACCAAATGATGAAAGGGGCAAAAATCCATTTCGTCCCTGGTTGGGATTGTCACGGGCTGCCCATTGAAATAAAAGTACTAGCAGAACTTGGTGCCAAAGCTCAGAATCTTTCACCTGTGGAAATCAGGGAGAAAGGTAAACTGTTTTCTTTTTTAAAATGGTTCCTGTGAATGCTGACTTTCTGAAAGAGGACTTCTCAGAGACAACATCTGTTCTTTGATTTTTGTTATCTTGCGATCTGTTGTAAACCATTTTCAGTCCAGGGAAATTCAGCTGAATCTTGCTGATTAGAACTGACATCTCATCTTCAGAGGAGAGATCAGGAACCTTTCTAAGGCTAGTCTCTGTTCTATAGTCTTCATTCTTGGTGAAGAGATGCTTTTGGTTGTGGTTCTGATATTTTGGTCAGGCCTTGTTATCTATTCAGGTATGTTTTCCCTTTCCTTTCTCTTCTGATACGTAGTAGCAGTTAGTCCTGATATTCCCCAATAATGTGCTAGTTCGGGATCACAAAGGGCCCACAGCAGCAGTGCTGGGAAGGGATACAATACTGGCAATCCTGGTGCTGTGGGCCACTCTGCAGTCAGGGTTAGATGTAGGGGATCATCTGGTATGGAGTATGGTCTGGGTACCACCTAGAAATGCAGTGTGGTGGCAGGAACCCTCTGGGCCTTTTGAAGTGTTGCTAGGGTTCCCCTGAGCTGTGAGGTGGTACCAGGGACCCACTGGGCTGTGAGGTAGTGCAAGGGACCCCCGAGGTTCTATGAGGTGGTACAAGGGAACTCCTGGGCTGTCTGGTGGTGCTGGGGGCCCCCTGGGCTGTACGAGGTAGCCTAGGTCCTACTGAGCTTTATGAAATGGTGCTGGGTTCCCCTTATCTGTGTGTGGTGGTGCTGAGGCCTTCTGAGCTGTGTGAAGGGGTACTTGGGGCCCCCTCGAGGCTGTGTGAAGTGTTTTGTGGGACTATGTGTTGGTGCTGGGGAACCCTAAACTGTGTGAAGTGCTGCCAGGGGCGGACTAGGCTGTGTGAGGTGGTCTAGGGAACCCCTGGGTTGTGAGATGGCACTAGGGCTGTGTGTGCTGGTGTTAGGAACCCCTGGGCTGTATGCTGGTGCATGGGACCCCCTGAGATTGTACGAAGGAGCTTGGGACCCCTGAGCATGAGTGAGGAGGCTAGGGCCCCCTAGTGGTGTGAGGTGACACTTGGGACCCCCTGAGCTTGTGTGTGGTGCTGTAGGGTCCTTGTATGTGGTGGTGCTTGAGCCACCTGAGCTGTATGAGGTGCTGCTAGCACCCCATGAGCTTTGTGCGGTGGTCTTTCGGCTCCCTGAGCTGTGTGAGGTGGTCACATCCTTGAGCAGTGGGAGGTGGTGCTTCCACCCCCTGCATTGTGTGCTGGTGCTCGGGACTCTGTGAGCTATGGTAGTGGCACTAGGGGCCACGTGTAGGCTGTGTGAGATAGTGCTAGGGACCTGGTAAGCTGTATGAGGTAGTTCTGGGTGCCTTGGAGCTTGCATGAGGGTACTAGGCACCCTGAATGATGTGAGGTGATGCTAGGGACCCCCTGAGCTTGTGTGTGGTGGTGCAAAGGACCTCTAAGCTGTGTGAAGTGATGCTGGGGGCCTCATAAGCTGTGTTGTGTAGTGGGCCCAGGGACCTTGGGCTGGTGTTAGGGACCCCTAGGTTCTGTGAAGTGGTACTTGGGGGTACCTTCTGCTGAGTAGGTGGAGCTAGGGGTGCTCAGAGCTGGGTAAGTGGTGCTAGGGTACCCTTATATGCTGTGTGAAGTGGGCCATGGGAACCTCTGGTCTGTGTGTGGTGGTGCTCTGGCCCCTTGAGCTGTGTGAAGTGGTGGTGAAGACCCTCTGACTAGTGTGTGGTAGTGCTAGAACTCCCTGAGCTGTGTGAAGTCATGCCAGGGACCACTGAGTTGTGGGAGGTGTTGCTAGGACCCCCTTGAGCTGGGGGAGATGTACTAGGGATCCCTGGGCTGTGTGTGGTGGTGCTATATCCTCTGAAATGTGTGTGGTTGTGCTAGGGACCCCCTGAGCTATGTGAGATGGTGCTGGGTGTGACCCTCTGAGTGTGTAAGTGGTGCCCTTTATAGGCTATGTGGAGTGGTGCTAGGGACTCCCTTTGCTGTGCTTGTTGGGACTAGGGTCCCAGAGTTCTGTGAAGGCTGGGGCCCCTGAGCTGTGTAGTGGTGCTAGACCCTCGGAGATGTGTAAGTAGTTCTTGGGCCCCTTATTGGCCGTGTGAAGTGGGGCTACAGACCCACTTTGCTGTGTGAGATGGTGCTAGGGACCCTCTGAGCCGTGTAAGGTGGTGCTGTGGAACCTCTGTGCTGTGTTAGCGTGTTAGGGCCAACTTACAAGCTGTGTGAAGTGGTACTAGGGAGGCCCTGAGCTGTGTGATGGTACTGGAGGCTCTCTGAGCTTGTGTGAGGGTCCCAGGGCACCTGAGTGGTGTGGGGGTGATGCTAGGGAGTCCTGAGCTTGTGTTTGGTGGTGCTAGGGCCCATGAGCACTGTGTGGTGTTCTAATAATCTCTGAGCAGTCTGAAGGGGTACTAGGGTCCGCCTGTTGGCTGTATCAAGTGGTATGTGCTGGTGCTCGGGGTCCTGGGAGTGTGTGCTGGTGTTTGTTAATGCTGGTCTGTGCTAAGTGGTGGCAGGGGTCTCCTAGGCTGTGTGAAGTGCTATTAGGAACTCCCGGCTATGAGGTGGGGCTAGGACCCTCTGAGCTGTTTGAGATGATGCTAGGAACCCCCTGAGCTATGGAGATGATGCTAGGGACCCTCTGGGCCATATTAATGGTACTAGGGGCCCTTAGAGCTGTGTGACATGGTGCTAGGAACTTCTTGAGCCGGTTGTAGTGTTACTGGGGACCCTCTGAGCTTTTGTGAGAGAGCTAGGACCCCTGAGCTTGGGTAAGGTTGCTAGGGTACCTTGAATGGTGTGAGGTGATTCTAGGGACCCCCAGCTTATTTATGGTAGTCCTAGGTCCCTGGAGCTCTGTGTACTCAGAATGTCCGAGCTGGCTGAAGGAGTGCTCTGAGCCCCCGCCCCCTATAAGCTGTGTCACATGGTGTATGCTAGTGCTCGGAACCCCTAGGCTGTATGAACAGTGGTAGCATCCCCTAGGCTGTGTAAAGTTTTACTAGGGATTCCCTGGACTTGTGGTAGGGACCCCTGAGCTGTGTGTGATGACACTACAGCCCTCTGAGCTATGTGAGGTGGTGCTAGGAACCCTGAGCTGTGTGACTTGGGCCTAGAGACTCCCTAATCTGGGTGTGGTGGCGTTTGGACCACCTAAGCTGTGTGAAGTAGTGTAGGGATGCCCTGAGCTGTGTGACGTGATGTTGGGGAACTGTGAGCTTATGTGAGTTTGTTAGGGACCCGTGGGTTTTGTGTGATAGTGCTGGGGTCTCCTGAGCAGTTTGAGGCTGTGCTATGGATCACCTGAGCTCTGTGAAGTGCTGATTGGGAACCCCCTGAGGTATGTAAGTGGTGCTAGGGGCCTCTTACAGACTGTGCACAGTGGGGCTAGAGACCCACTGAGCTGTATGAGGTGGTGCTAGGGCCCTGTACTGTGTGTGGTGGTGTAGGGCCCTCTGAGCTACGTGAAGTCATGCCGGAGACCCCTAGCTTATGTGTAGTGGTGTTATGACCCGCTGAGCTGTTCTAGGTTGTCCTACGGACCCCCTGATCTCTGTGAGGTGCTGCTGGGACCCCCAAAACTGTGAAAGTGGTGATAAAGGCCCCTATAGGCTGTGTGAAGTGCTAGTGACCAATTGAGGTATGTGAGATGGTGCTAGGGCACTCTGAGCGTTGTGGTGCTGTGACTCTCAGAGCTGTAAGGTGCTGCTAGGGCAGGACCCCCTTAGCAGTGTAAGTGGTGCTGAAGCCCCTTAGAGGCTGTGGGAAGTGGCACTAGGGACCCACTGAGCTGTGTGAGGTAGTTCTAGGGAAACCCCTAATCTCAGGTTTTGCTAGGGCCCCTGAGCTGTGTGGTGGTGTTAAGGCTCCCTGATCAGTGTGAAGTCGTCCTATGAACCTTTGGAGCTGTGAGGTGGTGCTAAGGCCCGCAAAACTGGTTGAGGATGTCCTAGGGACCCCGTGAGATCTGTGAAGCTCTTCTGGGACCCCCCTTAGCCATGTAAGTGGTGCTAAGGGCCTCTTTTAGGCTATGTGAAGTGGTGTTGGGGACCCTCTGAGTTGTGTAGGTAGTGCCAGGGACCCTTTTATGCTGCGTGAAATGGTGCTATGGACCCCATTTGCAATGTATGGTGGTACCAGGGCCCCTGAGTCTGGGAAGTGTTACTCGGAACCCCTGACCTGTTTGAGGTCGTACTAGGGACTGTCTGAGTTGTTTGTGTGGTGCCTGAGGCCTTTATCGGTTGTTTGAAGTGGTGCTCGGGACCCTGTTTGCTTTGTATGGTGGTGCTAGGTTCCACTGAGTTCTGGGAACTGGTGCTAAGGACCCTTGGTCTGTGTGTCTGTGTGGTGGTGCTCGGACCCGCCGAGCTGTTTGAGATTGTGCTAAGGACCCTGTGAATTATGGAAGTATTGGCAGGGGCTCCTATAGACTGTGTGAAGTGCTGCTAGGGACCCCGTTTGCTCTGAACTGTGTAAGTGGTGCTAGGAGTCCCTTCTAGGCTATGTGAAGTGGTGCTAGAGACCCTCTGAGTTGGGTAAGTGGAGCTAGGGGCCCTTTTAGGGAGTATGCAATGGTGCAGGGACTCCATTTGCTCTGTATTTGGTGTTAGCGTCCAGTGTGTCTGAAAGGAGGTACAGGGACCTTGGCTTGTGTATGGTGATGTTAGAGCACCCAGAGCTAAGTGAGGTTGTGCTGGGGATCCCCTAAACTTGTGAGGCACTGCTAGGGACCGTCTTAACCTATGTACTGGCTCTGGGGGCTGCTTATAGACTGTGAAGTGCTTCTAGGGAACTACTGAGCTGTGTGAGGTAGTGCAAGGGCCCCTTGGCCCCTTGAGCTGGTGGAGGTATGCTAGGTAGCCCTTGAGCTTTCTGAGGTAGTGCCAGGGACTCCCTTAGTTGAGTAAGTGGTACTAGGGAGCCTTTAGGTTGTGTGAAATGGTGCTAGGGACCCCATTTACTCTGTCTGGTAGTAGGG